AATTCTGGGCCCATCTATTCTTACCCACTTTATTCTAAACCCAATACCCCGCCCAATACCCAACCTACAAATCTTTAGCCGACTATTTTCTACCCATCCGCCACAGGCGATAATCTCTTTCTCTAACCCACCCAGAACCCTCTTCTCTTCCCTCCAACATCCAATTGCCAAACCCAGCCTTGATACATCCACAACCCATGCCCGTATCTCCCCCTGGATTCACACTTTCCCCTCATCCGAACCTGACCCTGATTTTGAACCCGCACAATCAAGCATCATCCTTTTTTCCTCCTCCCCTGCAACCCACTCCCCTAATCCCATACCAGTCGACCTCCCCACTTCATCCTCGTCCCAATACCAACTGACCGCAACCCCCCCCAGATTCGCCAGCGTCAAGCATCGGGGTATCCCAGATTGCTGAAACAGTTTCAGAACTTCCATCCCCTTCCTGCGTTCCCGATAGCCAGGGATCATAGTGGAGGCTGGATGAATTCCCATTTGATGTGGACTCCCTAATTGCTAGAAGCAGAGAAATGGGTTCCTTGTTCAATCTGGAACACGAAGATGGTCAAGCCGGAGTTGAGCGAATTATTGAGGATAAGGCTAGGATCCTTCATCAGCGAAAAGTGAGACCCCACAGGTCGAAATTAGAAATGGAGAAGCGTAGGTTAGGGCTTGTTGAAGCCCCAGTTGTTGGGTCCAGAAGAAGTAAGAGGACGGAGAGGACGGTTCTACTTCTAAGATATGATGAATCAGTCTCTTATTGTGTGGAATGTCAGAGGTTTGGGTGATCGCGATAAGAGAGGAAGGGTTAAGAGGTTACTTGCTCGTAGAAGGGCTAGTATCGTGGGTCTTATTGAAACCAAATGGAATCAGTGCAATGATGATCTTATTTCGGATGTCAGCGGAAACAGAGACAGGGGGTGGACAGCCAAGAATGCTGATAATAGTGCAGGTGGGATCGCAGTTTTCTTGGACACGAGAATTGGTGCATTTTACCTGCTTATTCTTCTCCAAGAGCTGAGCACGTCGAAAATATGGTCTCTTGCGGTTGTTTATGGTCCGCAAGATAGAGAGAATAAATTGGCCTTCATTCGGGAGATCAACGAGATGTGTTTGGCCTCTGAGGTACCTCTATGTATTGCCGGAGATTTTAACTTGGTGCGTAACCATGATGACTATAGAGGGGATAGAAGGAATGTTAATCTAATGGAGGAGTTTAATGACTGTATTGAGAGTAATGCCCTTGTAGAACTTCCTCTTAGTGGCAGCCTGTTTAATTACTTGGTGCAGGGGTGATGGGAGCAATTCTCTGTCACGTATTGATAGAGTTTTTGTTTCCTCGGACTTCAACGGCTTGTTCCCTAATTGTTCTTTGATGTCTCTTGAGCGCGTGGAATCGGACCATAATCCGCTGCTTATCAGATGGGGAGACCTAGGGAGAGTCAAAAGACCATGGAAGTTTGAAATCATGTGGCTCCATGATGATAGGTTCTTTGTGGAAATGGAAGCGTGGATGAGGACGGTTATTGAAGGTAGAGGGGCAGCCTTTTGGTGGTGTAAGAGAATGCAGAATCTGAAAGGTTTAATTAAGGAATGGAACAAGAGGGTTTTCGGGAATGTTAATACCCAGATTGAGGAAGCTCTGGCTAGAATTAAAGAGCTGGACTCATCCGATGAGGGCAGATTACTGAATGATAATGAGGTAAGGGAGAGACAGGGACTCAAAGTGGAGGTGAGCAGACTTCTTTTTCTCCAGGAAATTTCTTGGAAGCAGAAAGCAAAGGAACACTGGCTGAAGTTCGGGGACGATAATACGAGATTCTTCCATGTGATGGCCAATTTTAAGAAGAAATATAATATGGTTGATTGTTTATATATTCATGGGGTGAGGTTCGAAGGCAGGGAGGAAGTGGCTAAAGGGGTGGTCGATTTCTACGTCTCCTTTTGCAAGGAAACTGTCGCTAAGCGCCCCTTTCCAAGAGATTTTGGGGTGACTAGGTTGAGTGATGCTGAAGCTAATACTCTTGTGCTCAATTTCTCGGAAAGCGAGGTTTGGGAGAGTCTTAGGGATAGTGATGGGTGGAAAGCTCCGGGACCTGATGGTTTCTCGTGGGACTTCTATAAGAAGTGCTGGGATTTTATACGTATTGAGGTGCTTCAAGCCTTGATCGAGTTTCACGAGTCCGGCTCTCTTCCGCTGTGCGCCACCCACTCTTTCTTGTGTCTTGTCCCAAAGAGAGATGCGGTGGAGGACATTAAGGAACTTAGGCCTATTAGTCTGATGGGAAGCCTAAACAAACTAATTAGCAAGATTTTGGCGCGAAGGCGTAGCATGGTGCTCCCAAAACTTGTTTCTCCTTCTCAACAAGCTTCGGTTCGGGGTAGACAGATCTCGGAGGCAGGTCTTATTGCTTTTGAACTCTTGGACAGCAGGAAAAAGTGTCGGAAACCGGGACTAATGTTTAAGCTGGATATTGAGAGGGCCTTTGATAATGTTAGTTGGAGTTGTCTGTTTAAAGTTCTCTTCGCCATGGGGTTTCCAAGGAAATGGGGTGAGTGGATCCATGGGACGATGTGCTCGCCGGTAATCTCGACAATTATTAATGGGGAAGCCAAAGGGTTCTTTAAATCTGAGAAGGGTCTTCGCCAGGGAGACCCGTTATCGCCGGGACTGTTCGTGTTGGTTATGGAGCTGCTTTCGTTTATGTTGTCAAGCTTAAGGAGCAAGGCAAAATCAGGGGTTTCTGTATGGATGAGATAAGAGGGAGTGGTGAGGTCACCCATTTATTGTTCGCAGATGACACGCTGATCCTTTGCGATGCTTCCACGGATCAAGTGCTCAACATCCTGGCTACTCTTGTTTGTTTCCAAGCCATCACAGGGCTTAAGATCAATCTTGAAAAATCGGTGATGATTGCTGTTGGGGATGTTCCTAATCCGGAGTATTTTGCTGCTGTGTTTGGTTGTAATTGGACTACTGATGTCACAAAGTACCTGGGGTTTCCGCTTGGAGCTAAGGTTAATTCGAGTGCCATTTGGGATCCTATCATTGAGAAATTTGAAAAGCGATTAGCAGGATGGAAAGGCAAGTATCTCTCACTTGGCGGTCGCTTGGTTCTGAATAATGCAGTTTTGGGAAGCCAACCAGTTTATTACTTTTCTTTGTTCGAAGCCCCTAGAGGAGCAGTTAAGAAAATGGAAAGAATTCAGAAAAGATTTATTTGGTGCGGGGCTAGAGAAGAGCGGAAAATCCCTCTTGTTAAATGGGATTTGTGTAAAGCATTAAAAGAGAAGGGGGGACTTGGTGTTAAGGATTTAAGCTGCTTCAATAAGGCACTCTTAACTAAGTGGTTATGGAAGTTTGCTAACGACAGAGGCAGTTGGTGGCAGGAGCTTATCTCCATTAAATTCCCTTCTGATTCGGAATGGCAAAGTAAAAGATGTAGGAACGGATATGGAGGGTCGGTTTGGGCTAATATTACAAAAGTTTACGACTCCTTCTGGAAAGTTTGCCATATCGATCCAGGGAGTGGTGCTTGGGTATCCTTTTGGAAAGATTGCTGGATTCCAAACCTTATTTTGGCCGAAACCTTCCCAAGAGCTGCTGCTGTCGCCGCCATGCCAGATGCCCGCGTGTCGGACCTTGCCAGCAATACAGGTACGCATACAAGATGGAATATTGATTTTACTGTAACTTTGAGAGGGGGGGGGGGGCTGAGAGAGAGAGATCAAACTTGTATAATCTTATCTTTTCCGAGGCTTCTAATATCGTCTCATTCGGGCCAAGTAAGCTGGTCTGGTCGGCAAATCCGGATTGTAGGCTTTCTGTTTGTCTTTTGTACAGGCACTGGATTAGCAGAAGCTGCCCTGGCGTGCCCGACTTCCCAAATGATTCTGTTTGGCGTGGGGAAGTTCCTACCAAGATTCGAGCTTTCATGTGGTTGGTGGCGCACAACAAAATACTTACCTTGGATAATCTGCAGAAGAGAGGATGGGCCTTGGCCAATAGATGCTCTTTGTGCTACAACGCGGAGGAAAATATTAATCATTTGTTCGTTGAATGTCCCTTCACCATGCAAGTTTGGAGTGAGATGGGAAGAAGATGTAGCAATGTGATCATGCCTGGGAGCGACATCTTAGCAACCATTAGGAGATGGGACAGCAATAAACCAGATAATATGAATGATTGGGTATTGTATGGTGCTCTACATATGATTTGTTGGCAGGTTTGGAGGGAAAGAAACCAGCGAATTTTTAGAGATCAAGCTCTCAGTCCTGCTGTTGTTTTCAAGAAGTCCTTGGTCGCAATTTTGGAAGGGCTGGCTGCCCATGGTAGGATCTGCAGGGAGCAAGTGTGGGATTGGATGGAAGGCATGGGATCTAGTTAGTCTGTAGCCTTTCTGCTTTTCTGTCCTTAACGGCGGTGGTGTGGTGTTGCTGCAGTCGCTGTATTTTGAGTTTGGATGGGTTGCTGGGGAGGTTCTGGTGTTTTGTCCCCTTTTCCCCTTTGTGAGTTGTTTTTTGGTTTTGGTTTCTTTTCGGTTGGGGGTTGTTTTCCCCTGGGATCGTTCTACTGATACCTTTTGTACTGGTGGGCTGGGAATTTGCACCTCTTGTGCAATTCTCTGGCTCGTGTCCCTTCCTCCTTTTTTTTAATGCATTTTTCACCTTCATCAAATACATTATATGCTAGTAATTTTTCAATTTTTGTTGTACATATCTGACAAGAAATTGAAATACACAAAGCAATGGTTTCTAACATCATCACTCACGCAATAGTCAAATACTTATAAGATAAGTTTGTCTTAGGATTGAGAACACCAACTCCATTCTCAATACATAGACGTTCATGTAGTTTATCATTCTGAATCCTAATATCAACTTGACTTAAACATTAGTAGAGCCTACCCTATCCTTCACAACTAATCTTCATGCTTAAATAATCATTAGTGGAGTATGTTAGTTCAATTCTCTACACTAATCTCCCTACCAAAATCCAACATCAGGGAGTCCATTCACCCTATGCCTATTCCCTACAACTAATCTTCTTGCCAAAATTCAACATCGGTGGAGTCCATATCTCCATGCCAAAATCTAACACCAATGGAGTAGATATCTCCATGCCAAAATCACTTGATGCACTCCATCTGCAATGCCAACCAAGATAGAAAGCCGATTGATTTAAAAGAATAAAACGAAACATAAAGGACGGAGAAACCAAATGAGCATTCATGAGCGGTATTAAATGATAAGGACACACCATTGAAAAATGTACATATCCAGCAGACAAATGAAAAGAATTGTGTGCACATCCGGCAAAAAGAAGTGAAACAAAAGAAACCAAAAATCTCGATGAAACATCAAAGATTAAAACATTTTCCCAAGGTAAAAGAATGTCATTTTCTATAGCAAGCAGTAGGTCCTACTTCCATTTAAATAGACATTATATTAAGGTGTATCTTCTCTCATTTCAACTCGTAGCTATGGAAAGTGAGGTGAGGGGAATAAAGTTAAGAAGGTCTAAAATCTATCAACCTCACTCCTAATTCACATATGCAGCTTCATATATACAAGTATATTGAAATCTGGAAAATTAAATCTTACTATTCATAATAAATTTCAGAACACTTACTAGTTGCCTCCTTTTTGAAGTTGTTGGCGCATGAAGTGTTCAAACACTACTTGTTTCTCATTGATTTGGTTCATGTTTTTCTCTAGATGGTCACATCTGTCTTGCAAGCGAGTATTTTCCTGTGTCAGCATTTGATTTTGCTCAGTCACTTGAGTCACATTTTCTTCAAGGTTGGCACACCGCTCCTGCAAGCGGGTATTTTCTTCAGTCAACTTTTCATTTTGTTGAGTGACTTGGGTCATATTTTCCTCTAGATGTCCACATCTTTCATGCAAACGCTCATTTTCCTCTGTTAGCTTGTGATTTTGCTCCCTAACTTGTGCGCACTCATTCAAAGCACGTGTGTCGACTCTCTTAGGTGGGGGTAATGGCCCATAGCCAACTCCTATGAGGCATCCAGAATTAGATCCTAACACTTCATGAAATGCTTCATCGGCAGTCACTGGTTGGTCGCTATCTTTAGTCTCATCCACCTTCTGTTGCATGCGATTCTATAGGAAGAAGAAAAAAAGAAACAGATATCACCATCAATTAGAATAATAAATTTGTATGAGGTTTATCTATTTATGAGTTAAATTCTGCATTTCACTCACATGTGCTTCAGCTGAATACTCATTCCTCCACTCACCAGTAATGGTGCATCTCACTTTTCTGAAGAAGTCAATCTTTTTATTAACTCCACTTCCTTCTTTATTTAGCTACTCATGTTCCCCATAATCACATAAAATAAATAATTATTGATTGTAATAGGTAATTGGTAGCCATACATGTTAATATAAGGAAAAGGATACTAACCATCTCATAATACAGAGGAACCAAGGGAATCGGTCCTTGGCAATTGACATGCTGGACCATATTCCTGTTTTCCGTGTTCTTATCACATAGTGCCTGATATTAGTTGTTTTCATTCATTGTGAGGGTTCAATGCCATCAAGTATGGTTTATATAGTTTCCATTCATACAAGGAATAATCACATTAGAAGACAAAAAGAAGTTGCAGGGTATAAAACAACTTGTGGCCAAATAGAACTAATATAAACAAGGCGTACCTGTACTTTTGGAGTGGCCCAGTAGTCACATAAGTCATACCATATCTGTTGATCTAGACAACGTGGTTTATGCTCCTTTGCTGTTTCATTATAGCGACGGTATACCTTCCGGTAATAGCTTCTTCTACCCTTCACAATCCTCATGAATTGCCTCCAAATATGACCTCTCACCACAATGTCTCCCACATTGACAATATTGAACTTCACCTATAATAAGGTACAAGAATATAAATAATAACTAATAAATTGAAAATAACATTTAAGTTTATCATAAACATGTGGCCATCCTTACCTCCAGCCTCAGAATAACTTCGTCAAGAATACGCCTCCTTTGACCTTTTTTTGAACTTTGGTCGAGAAAATAGACAAGTTTCCATCTTCTTCAATGTCATAGTTTCTCTCGGGAGCATTAAATTGTGTCTCGATTCCATCCAAATACATCGAACAAAATGTCAAACATTCATCAACGAGATACGCCTCAGCAATTGAACCTTCTAGATAAGCTCTATTTCGTACGAACCCCTTTAAAGTGCTTAGAAATCTAATAAAGAAATAGTAAAGGATTAACCTTCCAACACTTATTGAGAACATTAGGAATGCTAAAAGAAGCTTTTTGATTCAAAAGTAATCGCACCTTTCAATTGGGTACATCCATCGGTATTGTACTGGTCCACCAAGTTTTGCTTCATGTGGCAGATGAATAGCCAGATGCACCATAACATCAAAGAAGGCAGGGGGATAAATCATCTCTAGCTTGCACAAGATCATGATTATATCTTCTTGTAACTTGTCCAATGCCTCTACACTTAACGTCTTGCAACATAAGCGATGAAAGAAATCCCCCAATTCAGCTAAAACATTAGCGACATGTGCATCCATACCTCCTCGTACCCCTACAGGTAGCAGTCTTTGCAAAAGAATATGACAATCATGACTTTTGAGCCCCGTAACTTTTCCTTCAACAACATTGGCACACCGAGATATATTCGAAGCATAAGCATCAGGAAATTTGACTTCTTTCAGAAATTGGCAAAAGTCTTTCCTCTCTTGCTTTGTCATTGTATATAATGGAGGAGGCATATCATATCTCCCATCACTTCTTTTCACAAGTTGCAACTCCTTTCTTATCCTCATCACTTCCAAATCTTCTCGTGCTTTCACTGTATCTTTAGTTTTCCCAGGGATGCTTAGTAATGTCCCAACAACATTATCGCATATATTTTTTTCAATATGCATAACATCCAAATTGTTCCTCAATTTTAAGGATCTCCAATAAGGAAGTGTGAAGAATATGCTTCTTTTCACCCAATTTAAATCCTCACAAGGCCGCTTTCTCTTATCAAGAATCTCAGGATGTTTGCCAGGAGGCCTCGCCGTTACATACACAAGTTGTTCCAAAATATCATAGCCAGATAAGAACACAGGAGGTGGTCGCATCTCTTGTTTTCCATTGAATTTTTTCCTATCTTTTCGCCACCTATGTTGGATCGGTAAGAAGCGTCAATGACCCAAATAGCCAATTTTGCTCTTCAATTTGTGAGATGAACTATCTTTGTTACAAATAGGACAAGCAAGATATCCTTTTGTGCTCCATCCCGATAGATTACCATAAGCTGGGAAGTCATTTATAGTCCATATCAGAGCTGCATGGAGCTTAAAACTACTTTTAGAGTGGACATCATAAGCTTGTGTTCCCTCCAACCACAACTCTTGTAGCTCATCAACCAAAGGTTTCAAATAAACGTCGATATCCTTTCCTGGGGCTAAAGGGCCAGGAATCAACAAAGTCAATAACAAATATGGCTCTTTCATGCACATCCAAGGAGGTAAGTTATATGGTGTAAGCACAACTGGCCACATGCTGTACGAATTGCTCATATTGCCAAAAGGATTGAACCCATCACTTGCTAGTCCAAGTCGCACACTACGAGAATCGGCAGCAAACCAAGGGTACTCTACATCAAAGTCCTTCCACTCCTTTGAATCAGCAGGATGGCTAAGCAAATCCACATCATCATTACGCTTTTCTTTGTGCCACCTCATGTGTACCGCAGTTTTGCTTGACATGAATAATCGACGAAGTCTTGGTTTCAAAGGAAAGTAGCGTAAAATCTTCCAAGGAATCTTCTTTCCTTTTCCATCATTAACTTTCCATCTAGAAGTTTTGCATATTGGACAAGCTTCTAGTTTCTCATTCTCCTTCCAATACAAGGCACAATCATAGGGGCATGCATGAATGGGAATATATCCTAAGCCAAGGCTACGCAACATATTCTTAGCCTCATAATAAGAACTAGGAATCAAATTACCAGTAGGTAAAGCGTCCTTCAACAGCTTAAGCAACATATCAAATGACTTGTTGCTCCATTTGTTGTATACTTTCAAGTGAAGTAACTTTACGACAAATGATAGTCTTGAATATTTATCGCAACCAGCATATAACTCCTCATGAGCTTTCCCCAATAAAGCTATGAATTCTTCGTACCCCTTAGTAGTGATGTCATCTCCATTGTTCTCATCATTATTGATGAAACTTTGATGTTCGGCCAAAAGATCAAAAAGGTCATCTTCCTCTTCATTATCCAAGATACTATCAGAAAGACTATCGTTCACATCTATATCATCCATAGGTGAATTGAAAGTCTCTCCATGGTGAGCCCACTTCGTATAACCAGTGTCTATCCCGTTGATTAATAGGTGTGCAAACACAACATCTTGAGACTGGCGCAACGCGTTTAGACATTGGTTGCAAGGACATCGAATGTCTTTATCAAGACCTATATTGTTCTCAACAAAGGACATGAAAGACCTAAATCCCTCCACATATTCTATACTGAACCTCCTTCCCTTCATCCATGATCTATCCATCCTATTACCAGAACATTAATTATACTTTACTATCAAAATATTATTTGAGAGAAAGGAGTAAAAAAGAAGGAAATGACAAGATTTGTAGGAGTTTACGAGAAGACAGTGAAGTGCATAGAGAGAGTGGGAGAGAGACAAAGGAGGGCAATGTGAAAGTTAGTTAGAGAGGCTTTAAGCATATAAAGTGTCGGTTCAGGGACTTAATAAAGAATAGAAAACCCAGTGCGATAGAAAGGAGCTATTATAAGTATGAAATTTGCAGTTGAACCTATTCAAAAACACATGTCAAGCAACTACAAGAGACTATCTTGAGCAAGTAACCAGATCTAACCTGTAAACAAGATACTAGCCAAACAGCCTGAAACTTGATCACCAAGATGCTAGCTTATCTCCCACTTTTCTTCAGTGCTGTAAAAGCATGCAACTTAGTTATAAATGGAAGAATACAAAGAAAAGAAAACATAAACAACCAATCTGCCTTTAGTTCCTACAAGTCTAACTTCGGGAAAGACTTTCGTTGTAAAGCTCTCATCCATGCCACTCATGTTATGATAGTTATATATCTTCATGCTTTACATACCAAATACATTGACTGATTTGTTTTGAATGTCTAAGACTAAATTGTTATTAAAGGAAAAGGAAAGCTCCAACAAAAACAGAACAAGAAAGAATACTTGCAATGAGAACACACCATGAGTTTAAGAGCAAAAACTACAAAGGAGATAGCAAAAAGAAAACTACAGCGTGCAATGTCATGAGGCCGCGGCACATCCTTGTTCGTGGTAGGCGGCAAAGAGACTAGCATGATGGAATCCGTATCAAAGAGAAAGCCCATAAATGACACCATATAGAAGTAGTAACTAAGGAAAAGCCACATCAGACACTGATGCAAAACAAGTTTGTATCATCAAAACACACTATGAATCATCTTAATCTTAACAAAACAAGTTATTAAGCAAAAGAGTTGCATAATAAATAGACACCTCACTAGGAACAGAGAAGGAAAACCAAACGAGCACTGGTTAGGGAGAATCAGCACATAATTGAGGGACAAGAATCATAATTTCCTCTACCAATAATTGATAAAATCCAGAAACAAGAAAGAAGAATTTTCAAAAACCCCTAGCCAGCAAAGATAACCGAGATAAAAAAAATCAATATGAGTTAGAGAAGGAGGAGCTTTAGGTCATGATTGAGTGAAAAAAAATCCACATGATAATAGGTCAGATATAAACATTTTGATAGAAGGATAAAGATTATTCTATATGGGATATAATTCACAAGATAAAAACAATGAAATGCAAAAATTTAACAAACACAATGTCATTTACCTTCCACAAAAGAGCTTTCCACTGCATGTACAACTTGTTGTGCGGTATTCTTTTCCTTTCTTCATAGAAAAATGTACATTTATAAATAAAAATAGAAAAAAGAAGAGTAGGTTAGCGATGAATTTTCAGTGAAGGTTCTTGACTGATCATACCTGAGATTTAAGACCTAGGTTCTCAAATGCCAAAATCCTCTCAATCAAGATTTCTCACTTGGGTAGCCAGGTCGAGGGAAGTGATGGTTGGGGACCATCATCGGGGGCAGTCATCGGCAAGAGGAGGCAGTGGTAGAAAGATGAGTTTGGGGGTATTTTTTGTTTTCGATCAACAATGGAGAAGAAGGAAAATGAGGGATTTCAGTACGCAGATGAAGAGTGAAAAGAGAGAGAAAGTACTGAAAGTGCCTTCCTTCTTCTTTATCTGGAATAGCAATTTAGGCCTTTTGCTACTATAACTAAATATTGTGGGCCAAATACATTTGGGCTTAATTCATTTTTTATACAACCATTAAAATAACGTGGGCCAAAGCAATTTTGTACAACAACTTAAACGAATTGGTTGGTAAAAAACAATTGCACATGTTTGTCTTCTAATTAGTATGGTCGGCAAAACAAAATAAAGTTGCCACAAATGAAATTCATTTACCGCCAAGAAACTCAAAAATGCCGCCAGTTATTTTAGACTATCAGCGGCTGTTAAAATATGGTAGCCCACGTTATACATTATTATATTTATTCTGAAGCTCAAGTTTAGCACAACCATAAAAAATAGTGGCCCAAAGTAAGCTTCAACAACCATACCACTAAACGTGGGTTAACTAACAATTTCAAGCGACGACTACAGGAAATCGTTGGTGCAATTAGAGCTTTAGATTTATATATAAAAAAAATAGTTTTGACCTTTTTGGCGACCGTAAAAAAATAGTGGCCCAATGTCGATCCAGTACCAGCTATATATCAAATCGTCGCTCCAAATACAATTTTACCAACCATTTTGATAGTCGCCAAAATATATTTGTGGTCGCTAGAAAAAAAATTTCATTTGTCGCCAAGAATTAAAATCTACCCGCCAGTCATTCCTATAAACAAGTGACTCTTCTATCGGCAACCCCTACTATCTTAGTTGCTTAAAGGTAGGGTATCTCCAACTACTTTACAAATGGTTGCCTATATTTTGAATTATCGGCAACTATTTGCGAAATAGTTGGTTATA